AGGGGAGGGGGTGGGAGGGGGAGAATAGGGGAACCCGTGGCTGATATGTAGAACTGAATGGTATTGTAAAATAAAATAAAATAAAATAAAAAATAAAAAAAAAGAAAGAAAATGAGGAAACATCTGGTGACAGCTACCCAGGGAAACTGCCAGATTCTCTAGAATCCATCCATATGCTGCAATAAAAGGGAAGGCTTATCTCCTGGAATATAGCAGTGTTTCTGGCTGCTAGGAGTGTTTTAGTTAAAGTCACGTCTCATCTTACCAGTTAGAATAGTGTCCACACCATAAAAGCTAACAGAAAATTTTACTGGGAGAAAGTTCATAACTATGAGTATGCAATGATGTTTGCTAAGTGTTATCACCAGCCCCAAGGGTACAATGAAAATTGAATATATTTATGATTTAAAATCATTGGGTGAAATTAGCAGAGTATGTCAAGTTGGCTCTTCCCACCAAGGTAACCAGAAGTCACTGTGAGGAGGGCATGCACGCCTTCTAGACTGATATAGATGTACAGTGACCAGAAAAGCACTTAACTTTCAGATTTCTTATCTGTGGATTAATCTATCTGCCACAATGTGCCATAAAAAGTGACAAAAGTTAAATCAAAATGTCAAGACTCAAGGCATACTAATTCTTCGTGTAGATTTTGGTTTTGTTCAGTCTTTCTGCCCCGTGCTTGGAGGGATGCAGAACTGAAGTGTATCATCCCGGTGAGCAGCTAGGGGTAGACAGAAGGAAGAGAGACAGGCAGAACCTCAATATAATGGTTGAACAAAGAGAGGTGAACTTGGGAGCCAGCTCTGGGTGTACAGTCAACACTAAGTCTAGAAATGTCTTCTGGTCTCTCCAGGTCTGTCTAAGAATGAATGAGTGGAGCTTATTCAAGGGTGGGAAATTAGATATTTTCAGAGGTTTGGGGTGCAGCTCACTAGGAGGGGCTCAGGGGGAGCTGGAGGTCAAGTGATATACTGTAGCCTCCCCAGTCAGAACATGGGTTACATTGAGATTTTGCCTGAAAATCTAAATTCTTGTCATGCAAAAAAAAAAAAATTCATGCATAAATCTCCTAGATCTTATACCTGAGCAACTTTTTCAAAATACTTACAAACACCAGACATGTCAAATAAACTACATCTTCAGGTTGAGTTTGTCCTGTGGATGCCACTGGGTAGTTTCTCAGCTTGCTGGGAAATAAAGAGCTTGGGCAATTTCCAAATAAATGATCTTCATGATGCTAAGAACCCAAGGCAGGACTTCAAAAGGAGGGGACTCCGTGGGCCTCAGCTTCTTATGACCAATGGCCTCGCATGGCTGACCTTCCTTCAGAGGAGCACTGTGAAACCCACAATGCCCTTAGCATTCTAAGATTCCGCTCAGTGAGAAAAGACACACAAATGGAAGGAGAGAGAAGAGAAAAAAAACAAATCCTCTCTCCATCAAAATGCAGCACTCAAGTCAGAAAAAGCCATTGTTAGGGTCTGGACCAGCTAATGACTACGAATCTTCCAGCAGGCTCTGACTCAGAACACATTCTTTTTTTTTTTTTTTTTAATTTAAGAATTTTTTTTGTTCATTTTACATATCAACCACAGATCCCCCTCTCATCCCTCCTCCTGCTCCCCCACAGCCTTCCCCCCACCATCCTCTCCTCCAAAAGGCCTCCCATGGGGAGCCAGCAAAGCCTGGAGAGGCAGGACCAAGCCCCTCCCCCCTGCATCAAGGGTGAGCAAGGTTTCTGACCTTAGGTAATGGGCTCCAGAAAGCCAGCTCATGCACCAGGAATAGATCCTGATATTACTGCCAGGGGCCCTTCAAACAGACCCAGCTACACAACTGTCTCCCGTATGCAGAGGGTCTAGTCCGGTCCCATGCAGGCTCCACAGCTGTCAGTCTAAAAGTTTGTGAGTTCCCAGAAGCTTGGTTCAGTAGTCTCTGTAGGTTTCCCCATCACAATCTTGACACCCACCCCCTACCCCACCCCACCACCCCACTCCCACCCTCCTGCTCATATAATTCCTCTCCCCTGTCTTCAACTGGACTCCCAGAGCTCGGCCTGGTGCTTGGCTGTGGATCTCTGCATCGAGCACATTCTATTTTGTGAGGGGAGAGTTTGTCTTCAGTGAGCAAATGAATGTGGACAGGACCTGGTCCAGGGTCTTCAGATAACGTTAGTAAACATTTGCTCTGGCTGGTGATCGCTGGCCGAGACTGTGGACCCAAATCTGAGACAATGTCATGAGTGACTGTTCTCCCAGCCAAGCAGCTGCTATCTTGAGTTCAGCTCTGCCCCCTTGAAAACGATCATCCTTGCTAGTCTTGTTGATGAAAACGATCATCCTTCCTAGTCTTGTTGGTGGTTTACACCTCCCCACCCCCACATAGAGGGGTGAAGTAAGCAGGAGACCTCAACATCCATCTGCCTACATCTGGCAACTCTGCACATGGCCCAGAAGAAGGCTAGAATATATAGAGGCCAGAGACGACAGGAGGGGAGCTCCATCTACACAGCTATGCAGAGATAAATCCCCGTGGTAAGGCTTTCCAGGTAAAGCGGGTGCCTTCCCCTGTCATGGTGACCTTAGGAAAAGGAGTGGACATTGCTGAAGTCCAATCTTGGGAAGGAATTTTAGCAATAGACAGTTCGGTAATGCCTCCTGTCTATGACAGCTTGACTCCAGTCTGAACCATTCCATTCTAGGAAATTTCCATTAACCTTCCTCATGACTGCCCCCCCCCCCACTCTCCTCTCTCTCTAGAAACCAACTAACACAATATATACTTGACATATATAAGTGGTTTGCTAAATATTGGTTGAATAAATAATCAATAGAAAGCTAATAGTTGACAGACTTCTGTAGCATGTGTGTTATATATGAAATTAAGTCAATATGGCAATAAGGTGAACCTTTGAAAAAGTAGATCTAAACATATCGTTTTCATAAGGAAGGAAGGAAAAGATAATTCACTTCCTTTTGTGACGATGAGGTTGGGAGCAGGCACAAGAGCTACACATGCTGCCCCAAAGGTGGAGAGAGCAAAGTGTGAGGTGGGTAGAAACAATTCTTTCCATAGAGCTTCGGAGCTACCTAAACAGAGCTACCACCATAAATGTAAAAACAGAGCGCACACAAGATTCTAACTGAATTAGGTTTAGCTTAACCACAAGACTCTGTAACTATTTGAGAAATTGATAAATATATTCATTGTCTCACAGCCAAGTACCCTCAAATTTAGTAGCTTAAAATGCCTGTTTTAAACTTATTTCAGATTAAACTTTATTTGTGTGCATGTACACACACACACACACACACACACGCACGCACGCACGCACGCACGTGCGCACACACACACACCACGGCACATGTGGATGTCAGAGGACAACTTGAAGGAGTTGGTTCTCTCCGTCCACCACGAGGGTCCTGATTGTCACCCTCAGGGTGTCAAGTTTGGCAGCAAGCACCTTCACCTGCTGAGCCTTGTTGGCAGCTAAAACACCTGCTTTATTACGTTGTGATTTTGAAGGTTGAACGAGCACACCTGGAGGAGCCTCTTGCTTTGTGTGATATGATCCAAAGCCATGGTCATCTGCCAGATGGAGGCCTAGAATATTCAAGAAGATCCACTGATACGCCTGTGGCTGAAAAATGCCCCTTAAGAGCCTTAGCTGGACCTTTCCCTCTCTACTACTCCACGGCCCTTCTCTTTTTCCATGTTATCTGTCATAGTAACCAGACTTTCGATCTGGCCACTGTCACCTAAGGAGAATCTTAAAGACCAACATGTCTACATACCAGCTCTAAATGATCAAATCTGTTGTTTCAGGGGAGTGGGCATAAGGAAAGCAATGGAGGGTGAATTTTTTTTTTTCAGTTCTTGAGGAAAATCCCTAGGCCTTTCACAGGCTAGGCAAGTACACTTGTACTGAGCCACACCCCAGTCCCTGAGAGTCATTTTGACAAGACTTTCTATCCTATATGCTTCCCATGATATGATCTGGCGTAGGATCCTGAAAGAGATGAAAGAATAAAATTTATTAGAAAAACATCAAGAAATTATAAAGCAGAATTAAGTTGAATTGTCCCAGGCTGTGGTGGCACACTCCATAATTTCAGCCCTCAGGAGATGGAGGTAGGAGAATCTCAGGAGAGGCCAGCCTCTGTTACATAGAGAGTTGCAGATGGGCTATGAGAACCTGTCTCAAAACAACAGAAACAAAATATAATTGCAGGAAAAGAGACACATATGATAAGGAGACAATTAGAAATTCCTGTGACAAACAAATAAAAAAAATAGGTGTTAAAGATCTCTGACCTGAATCAAGTGGAAGGAAGAGCCAGTAAGCTCTTGAGAATAAAAGAATTTGCAGAGTCGGGCAGTGGTGGCGCATGCATGCATGCACGCACACACGCACGCACGCTTTTAATCCCAGCACTCCAGAGGCAGAGCCAGGCAGATGTCTGTGAGTTTGAGGCCAGCCTAGTCTGCAGAGTGAGTTCCAGGACAGCCAGGACTACACAGAGAAACCCTGTCTCAAAAAAAAAAAAAAAAAAAAGAGTTAGCAGATAGACAATATTTAAAGGAAAACGGCTGATAATTTCTAGAAACAGAGATTCACATGCACCTACATTGGAAATATGCAAAGTCCTTTGCTGGGCAGACAAGAATGAGCCTATACCTACTACACCACTGTGCTCCAATCTGGACTCACCATTTCCAAATCCTGCCATCTTTCTAAAGCTACTTGAAGTAAAAATAAAAACAAAAGCTGCAAGAGGTAAAGTATTTATCTATTTATTTGTTTTACATCCTTTCCAATTTCCCCTCTCCTCTCTCCTCCCACTCCCTCCCCCCACTTCCTCTCTGTCCACACCCCTCAATCCACTCCGCCTGTTTTTGTTTGAGGAGGGGAGTCCCACAAGAAGACCCAGCTACACAACTGTACCACTTATGCAGGGGGCCTAAGTCAGTCCCATGCAAGCTCTCTGGTTGGCAGTTCAGTCTCTGAAACCCTGTGAGCCCGGGTCAGTTGATTCTGTGGGTTTCTTGTGGTGTCCTTGGCCCCTCTGGCTCCCACAATGCTTCCTCCCCTCTTTCCACAGGATTGCCTGAGGTCCACCTACTGTTTGGCTGGGGGTCTCTGCATCTGCTTCTATCAGTGGCTGGATGAAGCCTCTCTGATGACCATTGGGCGAGGCACCGATCTAAGTATAGCAGAATATCATTTCCTCTTTATTTTCAATGAATAAAAGTCACGGCTAACAAAGGCAATAAGACTTCAGACTGGCAGGAATTTCTTAGAACCCTTTTCCCCCCCTTCAAGAGATGCTCAGGGCCTCACAATGGGATGCTTTGTGTGACAGGGTACACTTGGCACCTCTGTCCCAGAGGCTGTGTGCAGACTTTAAGTGGCTCCCAGGGAAGCCACTACCCCCATGTGCTGTGTGGCTTCCTCATTGGCGATTGACAAGAGAGGGCCGGGTCCTCCTGAGGAGCTGAGTGCTTTGACGGATGAAACTTGTGTGCAAGAAAAGCGATCCCGCACCTCGGCATCCCGTTTTTAAACTTGGGAGACCTCTGTGGAGCTGAGGCTGTAAGGTAAGCAGAGCTCGCCGCAGCTCTTGAACTCTGAAACTGAGACTAACGGAAGAAACATTTTTTTCTTGCTTCATGTGAAACTTGAGCAGGCTGCTTAGCCTCCTGCCTTTAAGAATAACAGCTCATTGTCAAATGTGCATACATAGCTCTGATTTAAGACAGAACGTTTTTTTTTTGTTTTTTTTTTTTTTTTTTTAAGTCGCTGATTTCGAAATAAAAAGTCTTCTGTGATGAAATGGGTGTACAGAGCTGTTGTACTTCAGGCATGTGCGGAGGCGTTCAGAGCGGGGGCTTTTCTCTCTGCCCTCAGCCAGTGCCATCCGTTCACTTCAAAAGGGGTCAGATTATCTCTGTCACTTGAGACTGAGTCTGGGACAGGTGAGAGAAGTCTTGAGGAATTGTAGCCAGATGCCATTCTAGGTCTGTGGGTCTTTTTTCTAAAGTCATTTGGTGTTTGCTTAAGGCATGGCGATGGGGGGAAGCCACGGTGCCTCGGTGGGTACTGCCCTGCAAAGTGTGGAAGATCTGCGGGCGTCGGTGCCGGATCGTGCAGGCCAGCTCCTTGAGATGGTGGCAGATTAAATTGGGAAGCTGGGAATTGTCAGAATGCAGACTGTAAGCCAGGGATTTGTCCAACATGGAATGTCGCGGAACAAGCTCAATTGTAATTACTTGTCTAATGTTAACAAAATCCAATCTTGTGGGAGGAATTTCCAGGAACTCTTACGTTTTTGTTCATGTTTGACCTGACTCAGTGCCTATCACTAATTGGTCCACAGAGGGTTTCTCTGTCAAGTATTTTCTGTATGTTAGATGTTGAATCTGCCCTCTTTTCTCCAGATGTCTTAAAAGAAAAAGATAGACTTTAATGAAGTTGACTGTGTTAATTTTGTGTCCATACATTCCTCCTCTCCTACTTGGCCTTTGCAGACACAAGGCCAGTGAGTGGGCTGTGGTCATAGTGGACTCTCCCTGGATTGCCCCCCAGACTCCGACTCCCCCCACCCCATGCAATGCACACCTGTCTGCGTCCTCATCTTCCTCCACACAAGCCGCAGTCCTGCCCAATGCTGCCTTTGACCCGTTGCCAGGGGTTTATATTCACATGTCAGTCCATATTCCTGCGAGATGAGTTCCCTCCTGTGTACCAACTAAGAGTGGGCCTTGGAGGCTGGCCTGTCTAAAATCTGAAGGTGTCATCTTGGGGTGCGGTGGGATTTAGCTTCCTTCTCTTTTTGTCTACTCCAGGCTTCTTCCTTCCAGGACCAAGACACCTCATCTGTCCAGGGTGTGCCTGGGGGTCTCCTGTACCTGTTACTGCACTTTTCACACAGATAAATAAGAGAGAGTTTCTGCCCCCACTCACCCACCCAAGTAGAGGATGTGGAATCTCTGAGGTTGAGAGGGGAGTCTCTGAGGTTGAGAGGGGAGTCTCTGAGGTTGGGAGGGGAGTCTTGGAGGTTGAGAGGGGAGTTCTCTGAGGTTGAGAGGGGAGTCTCTGAGGCTTTTTCTTTCTTTTTTTTTTTTTTCTCACTCTGCTTTTTGCTAGCTAAGCACATGCTTCTTAAAACAGTTTAAGTACAAAGCTGAACGTTTTTAAGGAGGGCAAGCTGCTGACGTTTTGCAGCCAGGCAGCCACAGTGGAAACCGTGAAGGTGAGCGGTGGGCTTGGCTTAGCCTTCCAACGTGATGTACGTGCTTTACGTCACTCATGAGGAGCATGAGCCACTCAGGCTCTCGGGCTGTTCGTGCTTGGCTTTCTCTGGACTGTGCTCAGGGGACAGTTTCTCTGTATGGGAACATGTGGGGGACAGTCTCCAAGACATAGACCATGACACTGGATAAGTCCCGTGCACCAGAATTCCCTCTCGTGGGGCTGGAGAGATGGCACAGGGGTAAGAGCACCACCTGCTGTTGCGGAGGACCCACCGCGGGTTTGCTCCCAGCACCCACACGGTGGGGCACAACCATCCTTACCTCTAGTTCCAGGGGATCCGATGCTCTCTTCTGGCTCTGTGGGCACCAGGCACCAGGGGTGTGCAGACATAGATGCAGACTAAACATGAATGCACATAAAATACCGGTACATAAATAAAAAGATCTCCTGCTCTGA